GACCAAAAGCAGAGAAATTACATATAGGGACAGAGGGTTTGTTATAGAGAGAGTGAACTTTATATGATAGAAATACTAAGAATATTATTAACTTATAAGTATGCCAATAATACCTTGATTATTTTTTTAAAGAATATCATTCAATATCAAATTCTGGTATTTACTGATGCCCCATTACCCAATTTGGCATCATTCAACCAGTAAAAAGGATTATAGATAAGCAAAGAAAGATGGGCCTTAAATTAGCACAAAAGAATTTTAAATCATGACAAACATAACAGCTTGATATCTTGATTGACATAGTGGTGCAGTCTTGCAATTTTTTATTGTATTTTAAATATAATTAATTAATTAAACAAACATGACTTAGCTATTTAATCATTTCCTTATATGTGAATGCCTCCATCCATCAAATATTCGTGATGGTCATGATTATTATTCAATACATTTGATATCATTGACATAACAAACAATTGCATCACCCAGGTAGTAATGATACCAAGATCATGCATAAATGAAATTTTTAATAACACATGTCTACCTAAATGAATAGGGAGGATCAAAAAAAATTATTTTTTCTAATTATCAATTATGGTTCCTTATGAATAATAAATAAATCTGATATTGATTGCGGGTGTCAGATTATTAAAATTTTCCTGTCACAAAATGCAAGCGTTGTGCACTGCACCCCCCTACACTCCAGAGCTTTTCCATGAGTGTGAGCAACTTGGACAAGTTGCAAGGCTTTGACAAAACTTCCCTCATCTTCCTCTCAGACCAGACTTGGCTGTTTCCATATGGGCATTGATCACTGATAGCTGGTGCTTGTGTGATGATTATTTTGTGTTATACCCCTCTCACCAGAATAAAGTTACTGTATTGGATTTTCCCTGAGTTCAGAGTTTTGAGCCCTGGGTTGCTGTCTTGTCAGTGGCATTCCAACTTACCAACAAACCTACCCCATTAAATAATAAAAATTAAAGAGAAACAAAGAATTTATGAAAATGATAAATTTATAACATACCAAACAAAATCTGAACCATTTTACTTTACAGCCTTCCTCCTAACATCAAAGCCCAAATG